TTGTATCAAAACAAATAACATACACAAAATAGCATACATATAATAAGGAAATGTTTATAACACTGTAAATGTTATCGTGTAAAATATTATGGAAATTAACACTCATTTTAGAATTAGATTCGCAAATTATTAATATTTTAATGGACCAACTTAGTTTTTTAAAATTATATGTTCAGGTAGCACATGTGCAGGTTTGTTATGGAGCCTCCTTTTTTGAAGCCCCCAGGGTTTATTATTTCCATCTTAATGTCCATGTGTACCCGTTGTTTAACTCACATTTATCAGGGACAACATGCAGTACTCGATTATCTGTTTCTGAGTTATTTCACTCAGGATAACAGCCACCAGGTTCATCTGTGTTGCTACAACAGAGATAATTTCATTTTGTTAAATGAGTACATGGTATTCCATTGTGTTTATATACCACTTTTTTCATCCAGTCATTAATTGATGGGCACTTAGGTTGATTCCAATACTTTGCTGCTGTGAATAGTGCTGTGATAAACATGTGAGTGCTGGTGTCTTTTTAATATAATTATTTATTTTTTGGGGGGTAGATAATAGTGAGATTGCTGGCTCAAGGGGTCAATGCTCTAATGGTATAAAACACATTTTACCTTTCAGAGGTATTCTTTTGCTGCGTAACTTTTGGAATTAAAAAAATATGTATTACAAAGTAAATTATAATCTAAAAACAAGTTAGAATTGAAAATGCTTGATTTATTTGAAACCAAGATCATTTTTTATTACATATTCGTCTTTTAGAGTTTACCTTGAGAAGGCAAATCGTTCTTTCTTTATACTTACTTTTTGTTTCAAAAACACGTTTATTATTTTACTCAGATGTCTTCTGGTCTCCATCCTGGATCCACTCTGATTCCCATGAATACCATTTCTGTGCCGCATGGAGAGGATGATTACGGGTATCAATGCTTGGAGGGTAAAGATTGTGCCAGTTTCTTCTGTTGCTTTGAAGACTGCAGAACAGGATCTTGGAGGGAAGGAAGGATACACATACGCATTGCCAAAATTGACTCTTACTCTAGAATATTTTTCCCAACAGCTTTTGCCCTGTTCAATCTGGTTTATTGGGTTGGTTATCTGTATTTATAAATTCCATTTCCTAGGCAAAAATTGTAAGTCTGGCTAAATTCAATATAATCTTTTGTACTTCAGTAACATGAAGTTTAATTTTTAAATGCAGAGAAATCAATGGTTAAAATGTGAATAGTACTGCAACTATTTTAAGGTCTTCATCAGTAAATAAAGTAGCAGCTTTTAGGTTAATTTATATGACACTGATTAGTTGCAAAAACTGGTATATTAAAATAGTGTTATATATTTTTACTTAAAATATTTTTAATTTACTTATATCATTATGATTTTAAATTGGTGATTTCTACAACTCATATTTTGAAGATGGGATGATTTAAATACATATTTTCTTTAAACATGATCTATCATTTTTGCAATGAGAGATGATTTGTAATTTGATTTTTTCTTTTTATTTGTATGCCTTATTTGAAGTACAGTTAGTCAAAAACATAAAGTTATGGTTTTCTGGGATTTATTTTCAAGATGCTTTACTCCCAAAAAGAAATGGACTCATTTGTAAATTATCAATTACACAAAATTTATGAAAATTTTACCTATCTTTTAATCCAATCTATTTCCTGATGCAATATTAAGCAGAATTTGAGTTACATTTACTTTGATGGTTTGTAAAACACCAGTCTTTTCTTTTTATTGGAAGACAAAAAAAATCTGAAAACAAGTTTTATTTCACCATTTTATTCTCTGCCTGATAGCATTTATGAAGTATGAAGAGGTTAACGCTGGAATGGTAAAAATCCCACACTAATTAAGTGCAGGACTAAACAATTACTTTTTTCTTTATGTTCTATGAGAGTATTGCAGTGCCTAAATTAACAAACACATTGAGGAACAGTGCTTGCATTTACTCATATGGTTAAAGAATTATTACCTGGAAAATTAAGCTGCAGGTCATATTGAGAACATGGTCTTAAATATGTAATATTAACTTTTTTTTAATATCAGTAATGTTTTGGAAACAGTTTAGGCCTGTGTCACGTATTGCTTCATCCAGCTCCAAAGTTCTGGACCCTGTCAGTTTCATAACCGCATTATAAATTGTTATAATATTCTCTTTTCTTGAAAATAAGGGAATCCTCAGAAATCATGCTAAAGGTGTATTGTTTGAGATATCTTGAATGAGCATGCGTTTGAGAGCACTTTAAATTTTAAGAGACGGGAGCAGATAAAGTTTAGACAAAATTTCACTGTAGGTAAAGTCTATCAGCTAATGGTTTTTAAAAAATCTCTTTTGTAGGAAGAGAATTCAATTTAGTTTTTAATGAATATAATCCTGTAAGCAGTTTGAAATATCAATTGTTTATAAGAATTCTATATTCATCATCTAATTATCTGAAGAATCACCAGGATCAGTTGGAGATAACCTTTAAAAATGGTTCCAATTGCCAAGAGCAATGATCATGATGAAGAGTTTTATGAACAAGGTCCTTCTTAAGGTTTGAGGAGAAAGCTATCACCTGTGCATTTGACACTGTTTTTAATGTGATAATTCCCCTACTTGGTCAGAGCCCTAGTTGGACTCTGGCATGGTTACACTTAATCTTTTGGAATATATGTGTGTTTTCTTTTTTAATTTAAATACAGTTTACAGTGTGTTTACAGTGTAATCTGATTTTTTTTTTGCTTTGCTTATAAACCTCTGAAAAAAATAAGCATGAATTGAACAATAATGCCCAATATCCACCGACACTGCTTTTTCTTGAATGGAGAGCCAAAGTAAACTTTGGCCATGTATATATTCATTTACAGATTATTCATGCATTCATTTTTACCACATTTGCATATTGATGGGCATTCTCAAGGTGACCATTCATTTAGGGGTTAAAAAAACAATGTACTCATAAAGAATAAAATGCTTCACTAAAGTCTAGTATGGTTATTTCCATGTTTTATGCTACAACATGTTCATTCTCATGGAACAGATTTGATTTGGGGACTCTTGCAATTGTATCTGAGCATGACTATATTTTAAAACACTTAAAAATGCCTGATATAGATAACCTCGATTTTCTCATTAGTGTTTCTTAACTTGGCTATAAATGTTGACAATATTTACATGTGCAAATAAAATTGATAAAAATAGGCTTTGCTTTTCTATATGCATTTCTTGTATATACCATCAAACAAGCACTTTGTTTTCAAAGCAAGTGATATTTTGAGGAGGTTGATTTAAATATGTAGATCAGAAAGAGAGGTTTACAAACCTTATTCTAAAAATAAGAACAAAAAGGTAAAAAAAGTACTTATTATTTTTTTTTCCAATAAGTCAAATATATCTTATTTTCGAATGGGAGGTAGTCCAATTTCTGTTCCTCTCTTCTTTCAAATGTTAGTTTTACCATCTTGAGAAATATTTTTTAAACAGCCCTCTTCTTACTCCAGGTGATTTATTTCTTAATTGATTGGATTCACTGAGACTTGAATTTCCTGGAAGTTTTAAATGTTTTTTAACACTAATATAGACCCAAAAAGTGAATATAAAGGATGAGCAAGATAACTGGAACAAAAGAATTTAGGATCATTTGGGAGCATGCTAATTCATATAGACTCATCCTCTAAATATGTAACCAGGCTTTAGAAGTCCAGAGAAGGGGAAATGCGATTGGCATATTTTTATTCTCTTGGATTTATAATGACAGGGTGCATTTTATTTATTCTTGAATTGCATGGACAAAATTAGACTCACTTGAAATTAATTCCTATAATGATAAGTAGTTTCCATTTCTTGAAAATTCAGTAGAGAAGTATAAAAATTCCCCAGCAAGTCAAACAAACCATAAAATTTTGATGTAAGTAGAAATTAGACAATTCCGTGGATGCATTTTATTTTAAGTTAAAGACAGATTTCATTAAGGAGTTTTAAAACCTGATCAACTTCAGATTAATACACAGTAACTATGTGTAAATATTGAGCCAGTCATAAGGGTTTATTTTCCATTTGTGTTTCCATATTTTGGAATTAACATATAGTCATAAAATAGACTATATTTTTTTCCTTAGGAACGAGCATAAAATTGAGAACTGCATCCTTGTCAATGATTCAGCATCAAAAAGAATGGCCAATAATACTCTCATACCAAGAGGCTCATAATTGTATGTAAAGTCAATATTTTGTAAATAGTCAATATTCCAAGTCAACATGTGACTAAATACACTCTGTGCATTGATTACATGAGATTGAAGCTTTACATAAGATGATTTGTTTGAGTGAAATTAAGATTAATAACCAGTGACTGAATACCATATAACAAATGAATAAATGCATATATGAAATTATCAAGGTGTTATATTATTACCTATTCTTACTTTTTCAAAATTTCTTGGAGCAAGAGACCACATCTGAAATTATTTCATTGGCCTTAGCACTGAGGTTGAAGGTTCCCTGTAAACAATGATTTAGCATTAGACTCACCAGAAACATTTTGAAAATAATTTCTGACCAAGCAATTTTTCTTAACATTATCAAATTAATTCAACTTCTCAGTGTCATACCATATGAAGGCCAGACACACTGTGAGTCACACTTTGGTTTTTTTGTTTGTTTTACCACAAGGGAGACCTTGGTAAGGTTTTGTACTGTTACAAAAACCA